AGTGGAGGAGGTGCAAGCAGGCGCAAGTATGCTAACCCAACAGACTTAGATTACTTTGTTGGTTCATAAGAGAGAATGAATGTGAAGCGCAAAATTCCAGTCGCGGCATCGCGTTACGACTTGACTTGGGCGATAGTCAACGCACAGCTCCGTTGCCATATCGAGTGAATTCGGTCCCAGTGCGGATGCTGCGTACATCATCCCGCTTGCAGGGCCTATTTCACTACTGAGAAGCAACGCCTAATTAGAAAAGAGGTCCACTGAGGAGCACTTCATCTCCTGCAAGTGGCAAACCTCTCCTGTTGATGAAACCGTTGGTGTTACCGAGCCCCTTTAAGTCGCCACGCAGGAATGGCGAATGAGGGTTCGAGTGCGATTCGGTCTAGACAAGGAGCGAGTCATTTATGTACAAATCAACTGATCCCGGAGAGATAGTAAGTTTACGTGGTTCCATATGGTGCAGATGCAGATTAACTCCCGGACCGTGTATGGGTTTGTGTGCTGTAAAATAATGCAGCGGCAATGAAATTGTGCTAAAGAACAGCTCGAAGCCACAGAACAGTGTTTATGCGATTAGGAGCACACCAGCTGATCGCACGATGTTCTTCAATATGCCCCTAAATGAATACGATTCCAAATCGAGGTCGAGCGACACATAGATCAGTGCTAAGCTATGGTCCGGTGTTTATTCAACTAGTCATTGAGTGGAGTTTTCTAGCTGGCTAACCAAATTTCTCGGCTTATTTCGCCGACATGGTTATCGTGTATCTAGGAGAATTAGCACTATTCACACTTTATTGCCAGTTGTTCGAAAATTAGGTTAAGGTTCGATCAAAAATTCTCCCTAGAGAAAGAAGGGCAACGGTTAGGACTCCACCAAGGGTCAGCCTGCCGCCGCAGCGCGGCGAGGAGAGGCGGACCGCGCGGCGTTTGCATCCATCCGTTACATTTCCATCGGTCTAGTTTATTATTTGCGGGTGTGAAAATTGTGAACAGAAAGGGTCCGACGTTCAACTATTATAAAACCGCTTCGTTTACATAGGCATACTATTAAGGGAAAGTATTAACAATCCCCAAAACTTCAGTCTGGGTTGAATACTTCTTTTGACTCAATTGTAAGGTATTGTAAGGGCCTGCACTTTGCTTGAAGTGGGGAGGGTAAGTCATAAGTACTAGAGAACTGAAGATATGAGCCATACGATGATTCTAGATAATCTCCCATGCCGAAAAATGCTTGAAAAGAGCTAGAATCATGTATTATTTTGCTACTGAGCGATCGCCGCGCGCGGCGAGGCGAAACCTGGCAGCCGTGACCTCTCGTGGAGTCCCAACCTACACCCAGGCAGAACTGGCTAAAGTACCGTGTGAAGGGGTAGGTCGGTAACACGAACATCGTGTCCGCTTGGCGCTACTAAATAGCGCCGACGCAAGTACTAGCGTGTGGCATCAGTACCTGAGAAGCGAGCTTCGACGTTCTCGCTTCCAAAACAAGCTGCACACTCACCTTCGTGGGTAGTGGTACTTGCTATGTGCGAGTGAGTGGCCCGAAGCTGCAATGGCGTGCCATTTTCTCCAGTCAAAGTGCACGGGAGTGGGATTGGAGAGTAGTGATACCCAGGCCATCCCCATACACCGCCCGAGCTGCCGTACGGACGGCCGTAAGCCTAACCATAGCCAACCGGGTCATTTGTCGGCTAATCCACTTCTAATTGTTCTCTAGGCTGAGGGGGCGTTTCGCTGGGAGGCCTAGGTATTGATGCAAACGCTCCACATCCAGGACAGTATGGAGACAGCATTCGGGTGTCACAACCCATTCCCGTGACTTTCGACTGGAGAAAGGCACATTACTGCAGTTGAAGACCTATCAACCTTGTTCACGGAAAGTACCGTCTTCGGAGTTGAGCGTACAGCTTGTCTTCAAGCCGATGCAGTCAGTGCTGCAGTTTAGAAAACAATACTTCACTTGCGGCTAAATCCGTCACTATAATTTGCCGAAGCGAAAATTTGGCCCCAACCAAAATAAAAGCCTAACCATTA